TAAAACAGTTAATACTGATTAAGGTAAACAAAAACCCTTCTGAATTAAAATTGAATTAAAATTCAACTAGAGAGAAGTCATAAAAGACAGGTGTAAAGGGGTGGTCTGTTTGTCTGTCTGTATTTCCTGTTTTAAGAGATCATTCCACAGCCATGGGGCTACAATGATAAAGACCCTGCTTGTTGAGGCCAATGCTAGTAGCAAACATGCTGATGGTTTGATGAACAGAGCCAGTAGGGCAGCTGAAACACACTTTAAAACACATCCATGTTTTTGGCTCCCCACTATTAGATATCTAGGGCTTAATTCTGGCTTGGGCATCTCTGCAGGCTGTTTTGTAGGTAAATCATGCCTCATAAGGCTGCTTTTTTAGCTGTGCAGGTCAGCAATAGGCTAGTAGTGAGTCCAGAGGCATAGAGATGACACCTGCCAATGTTCAGTTATGACATCTTTGGATAACTTTCAGGTAGCTGTTGAATAAATACATGTTCTACAGGGTCAAACTGATGGGCCACTTCCAAAGCCAGAATTCAGGAAGCCTGTTCTCCTTGGCTGATGACTGCAAAGGGGGAATTGAAGCATCAAGGTACCTTTCTGCCTTCTGAAGCAAAGGGGGGAGAATGCATACTGCCTTGCCTCCCAGAGGGAAATGTGTGCCGATTTCCTGCAGTGACTCACCCTTCCATAGGTCTGTAAGCAGCACTTCAAAGTGCAAGGGGACTCACATGATTAAATGATCCTTCACTGATCTATTTCAGATCTATTTCCTACACTGATCCTACACTGATCTATCAATCCAACCCATGGAAAGTAGCATGTCAGGGCTGAGACTGAACAGAACTCTTTTCTCTGACATGCTAGTTTTCTATCTGCAAGGAACATTTTTATATGCAGGGTCATTTAATCATATAAGCTCTTCACCTACATGTCTGCACTGGCGCCGGTTGACAAACTCAGTGAGACACAGGACCACATCTATTCTAGGTTTTGTTCGAGCAGAACCTTCTTCACCCACAGTGATGGCTTTCCTCACCTGCGTTCAGGTTCCCTTCTTGCATTGCGAATGGTTCCTTTTGTCCTGTCTTGTCCTCAGGTCTTCATTCCTGGGAAAATTTAGCCATAGGGATGCCATTTTTGACCCACACCATGTGCAATATTTTGTACCCAGGACAATGGAATTCATGCTCTGGATGTGACACTGAGATTTCTGTGTCGTCATTGCATGGGGGACGTGGCTTGAATGTTCTTAGTGACAAGTGGCCCAACTTGCCATTAGTCAGCCTTTCATTCTGCTTTATAAATAGTGCTAAACAGCAACAGGATTATTCCTTGACAGTATGCCACATGCAGCATTTCGTGTTCTCATTCTTTTAATCTCTTCTATGCTTTGATTTTTAAGATCCACCATTAGAGATTGCACACTCCTTTGCAGGAACGTACATATAAACCCAATTTGCCTCCTCCCCACAAAGTGTGGGGTAATTAACCTGACTGTGGGTTCTTTCATAATGAACCTGTAATATCTAGATTGGGGCACCACATAACAATGGGGGGGGGGGTCAAAAGTAAAAAAAAGTTGTGGAATGTGCTTGACAAGCACTATGTCAAATTTTGGGTTAACCCAAGATTTGCCTAGTTATGTGTGAACAGCAGTTATTCGTCAGAAAACAGCAGCCCAGCTGTTCCCTTACCACAGGTCAGCTGTGTCCCCTACCCTTGTCAGCTATTTGCTAATGGATCTTATACCCAAAACGTTATTTGGGCATGGATGGCTATGTTAACACTGCAGCACACTTTCTGTAATTATGCAGAAAGACTCCAAATATGCAGATATTGTCTTGTATACTGACACTGTGTTCTGAGCACCCACTTCCAGTCAGAGACCAGGCCCCACCTTTCCACCGCTGGCCCTTGTCGGTGCTCCTATATTACCCTTGCATGGAATCAGGAATTTCTATTATTTTCTTCAGCACAGATGTACAATTTCTTCACATGCAGTGCAAGACCACTTGCCTTGCTTTTGCACACCCCTGTATTTTCATGGGAGATTGTTATCAAATAGGGCATTTCCCATGTGCAAAGCTTGAATGGTTTTCACCTGCATCTGTCTGGAACATGTGAAACTTGCATTGTTCTGTATGGACCTTTGATTAACAAGAAATGGCCTACCTTTTGACTCTAATCCTGCAAAATAACAGCATTCACTTGTGGCATCCAAAGTTTGTGAGAAGCCAAACCATATTTTTAAGTGTCAGTGTGTGAAGACACTTAAACATCTCCGTCTCTCTCATACATGGTATAGAGAGAACAGGTTTGGGAAAACACCCAGCAGCACAGCCAACAAGACCATGGATGGATGGGAACTTTAGCCTGTCAACTTTTGAAAGGCATCAGGCGCTCCACCCCTTCCAGAAAAGAATATTTTGTATATTAATAGCCAGTTCTATATTAATAGAACTGGGATGACTTGGGTCATGTTGTTTGTCAACTCTTGCAGTGAATCAGAATCCACAAACAATTTGGGGGCGAATGAAAAAGAGTCCCACTTCTTTCTACAGTACATGTCAGCGCAGTAAGTGCTCTTTTTTTTAAAGCTCCCAATAACTATGTGAGATATTTAAATCCCCATCTTTTCTTTCCAGGTGGGAATCTGAACTTATGCTGCTGAACAAGTTATGAACTAGGACAAATCCAAACAGCACCCACCGTGACTGATTGCAGTACGCAGCTCTGTTCAGGGGCTCACCAGTGTGGTGTGTTGGCTTGCATAGCAAGCAGGCACTGTCTTTAAAATGTCACATATTTAGCTTCGCTTTATTTCATTGAGAACAACAACAAACAAGTGCAGACTTCCTTGGGTAGGGCTGTGGACAGCAAGAGAGAGAGAGAGAGAGCGAGAGAGAGCGAGAGAGAGAGAGAGAGAGAGAGAGAGAGACTTAAAATGTGCTGTGATGGTTGTGATGTTAAACAGTTGCTAAGCAAGTTGGCTAGAAAGTTTAAAAAAGGGACAGGCTCAACTGAGAAAGTCACAATGGGAAGGTGGCTATGTTTGCTAAATGGACAGCACAGAACATCCATGGCAGGGAAAGGTGGAATGGGGCAGGTGAACGGAGAAAAACAGACAGACTGACGATCTGTGGCTAAGTGCAAAAGGGAGCCTGGCTACATGGCTTTGTTCACTTGCAGATGGGTCAAGATTCAGACCTTCCTCTTAGCTGTGTAGTGCAGATGCTGGGAATGGGGGCTTAGTGACTTTCAGCAGAAAGCTGCTTGTTGTGGGATTTGATTGGATGCTGGCAGCCCCTTCCATCCTGAGAATGCAGAGAGCAATGAGACAATGTCCCTCTCTCAGTCCAAACCCAGTCGCTTCCCAGAAACAATTGGGCCTCTCAGCTCAGAATGTTCTGAGTTTCTCAGGACAGCCCCTGAAATCAGGTTAGGGGGTTCATCTTTGGCAAATGGGTCAAGAAGCTCCTTTGCTTCCTCCACGGTGCTCATGCAGATCAGCATTTCTTTGACAGCAAGCCCCCACCTACGCCCCTTGGAGTGCCCAGACTTTGTTGTCTGGTCCTCCTAGTTCTCCTGTCTCTCTGTGTGAGCAGCAGCAGTGGGGAGCATAAGGAGAACTTTTGTTGGATTAGAGCAGTGGTGCAGGGCCCCACTTAAGGTGTGTGTGTGGGGGGAGCCAGCAGGGTTGGCGGGCCATGCTTTGAACCTAGTGAAGTAATCACCATTATACAAAAAGCCCTCACCACTCTTCCTGTAAGAACATTAAGTCCAGGGTCTAGGGGTGGCCAAGCAGGTGCCTTTGAGAAGGCCACAAAGCCCTGCTGGGCCAGGTGCAAAGGTGCAGCCAGCATCCTGTCTAGAACAGTGGACAGAACTTGCGATAAGCCCGGAGAAGCGGAGCTTGCGAGGGGCCACGGCAGGCGCTCTCCCGATGAGCCCTGGCCCGCCCAGGCACTGGCCCGGCTCACGGGGAGGTAGGCTGCGCCTGAATGTGGCAGCTCCGCTGAGAGCTCAGCCCTCGGCCTGCGCTTCCCGTCCCTCCGCCGCCTGCCGTTCCGCGTGTCAGCGGCTCCGCTCCAGCGGGCCGGCGCTTCGCCCGCTTTGTCCCCGGATCGCGGCGGCCGCTGGCTGCCCAGGTGGAGGCTTCACGACCGCAGAGGGACCGGAGGGAAGCGGAGGGCGGCCAGCTGGCTCGGCGATTGTCTTTCGCCTCCAGCAAGTGCAAGGAGCCAGCGCCTCCCTCCACCGGCAGGCGATGCCTCTCACGCTCGCTCTCTCGGCGGGGAGGATGCGGAGCGGCGAGGCGACCGGCCGAGGGGAGCGACGCGGGCAGGGGGCCGAGGCGGCGGCGGGGCGCTGGGCGGCGAGGCTGCGCCGGCCGCGCCGGGGTGCCGCTGGCCAGCGCTGCCTCCCTCCCCCCCCCTTCCATGACCTCGCCAAAACCTGCCCCTCGCTGGGAGGGGAGGACGAGTCCCGGGCGGCTTGTCGCGCTGCCCCGGCCATCAGCCTCCGCAGCACCGAGCGATCCGTCCGAGCGAGCGAGCGAGCGAGCAAATAAGCGGGGACCCGAAAGCCCTCCTGGAAATCTGACCGCGAAACCTTGGCCCCGCCGCTGCCCTGGGGTGCGAGCAGCAGCCAGGATAGAAGAGAGCAGAGCTGGGAGCCGCCGAGAAGGAAGAAGGGGAAAGTGGCGGGTTGGGGGAGGAGGCTGAAGAGGTTTGCCGGGGCGGGGGGGGTATTGTTTGCTGATGATCGGAAGTTGCTGACAATCTAGCAGCACCTTCATCTCTCCCAAGGCTGCCTGAAAGAGAGAGAGAGAGAGAGAGAGAGACACGCGCGCGCGCGCGCGCGCACTCACACATACACACGCGGGGAGACACGCGCGCGCGCGCGCGCGCACACACACACACACACATCCTGCCGTACGCACACACATCTCCAGAGCAGGAGGAGGAGGAGGAGGAGAGACAGCGGGGGAAAGAGGAGAGCCGATGTCTAAGGGAGCCACTCGGAGGAGGCAAAGCAGGCGGGTTCTCAACTTCTCCTCGTTGCTGATCAGCGCCAAGCGGGATCGCTGGAAACCGGCGGCGGCTGCTGCTGCTGCTGCTGCCGCCGCCGCCGCCGCTGCCGGGCTTGACCAAACAGGAGCGTTCCCATGGCAAGGCTGCGGCCGGGGATTTGACTCCGTTCCCTTGAAGCCACTTGACCTCGCCGCCGCCGCCGCCGCGCCTCCCCACTCAGCGATGTATCATTCCCTGCTCTCCGCCTGCACTTGCCTGTAAGGACCGCGGGGCATTTCTCGCGCGCTCTCGCACGCCCTTCCTCGCTCGAGCTGTGCCCACTCGGGGGTCGGATGGCGGGGGGGGGGGTTGCTTCGCTTTTCCTCCCCTCTTTAAAACAAGGGGCTCAGCTGGCATTCCCCGCCCCGGCCATCGCAGACACGCATCGCGATCTTTATAAACAAAGCATGTTTTATTGTTTTTTTAAATGTACTTTAACGGTTCCATTTCATCCTCTGATCTTTGGTCGCTTCTCTCTCTCTCTCTCCTCCTCCTCAGATGTTTACATTTCCTGCTGCTGTGCATCCAGGTACAGGTAAGCGATTTCTTCCCCCTTCCTTCTGAAGGTCCCCCTCCCTTCTTCTGGCTGGACAGAGCGTGGTTGACTTCGGCACCTTTCCCAGCGGGTTACTGCTCTCCTCCGCCGCCCCGCTCGACACCTTTGCTGCCGATTAAACTGCTGGGGAGAGAGCCGGGAGCCACTTGCTCTCCAAGCCGGCACCTCCCGCGCGCCTGAACTTTTCCGCTGAGCGATCCCCGGATTGCACCGTACGCATAAAATGATCTGCAGTTCTGTCCTGCGGCTCCAGCCCGCGCCCTCCCGCACCACCCTCTCCCAAATGATTGCTGCTGCGTCGTCGTAGATGCCAGTAGCCCTGCATTAAGAGGGATTCTCTGGAGTGCATTAGACTGGCTAATGATGTGAGAGGGAGAAGTTGGCCTGCGCGCCGCAAAATGTTGATTGATGCACTTGCGAGGGGCGGGTTCTCCCGCCTAAGCTCGCCCGCTCTCGCGCTCTCTGTCTCCGAGGGACACTTAGGGGGAAGAAAAAGATCCTTCACTTTGGAAAGCAGGAGCCCTTCCTCGAGGGCGAGGTGGCGGGGGGGGGGGGACCTGTGTGCGTGTCCGGGCCTGGAGGGGTGTCTTTCTCGCTCAACCTTTGGAGAGGGGAAGGTACCGCTGGATTCCCCCCCCCCCGCCCATTCTTCAGGAGAAGCTACTGCAGATCCAGATGGGCTGAGGGTTGAAAGTGGAACAGGGTGGGAAGGGAACTCTGCAACTTAGAGACCCGCTCCCTAATCTTTTCCATCGCTCAAGATAGAGGGCAAGGAAAGGATGGTGGAGGAGTGTTGTTCAGTGCAGCAGATCGTATTATTTTCCTATATATGCCCTCGCATACACGCAGGCGTTTCTTCTGGTGAGGAAGCGGTGCAGGGCGCGGTGGGGGGGGGGGTGCTCAGAGGAGAGAGGACGCGGCGCTGCCTGTCCCGCTGGCGCTGGCGCAAACGCAACACGTGCGCCCCGGGACGGGCCCGCCCGCGCTCGCCACTATTTCGGAGTTGGCAGAGCAGGTGCCGCGATTCTGGAATCGCCCTCTCCCCGCTCCTCGCCCTCCTCCCCTCGCTCCACTGTTTGTTGCCTTGGGCAGGCTTCCCGAGGGCATTGTGAGGAGCCACGATGCGGCAGGGGCCGGGGGTTCCCGGCCGCCCTGCCCCTCCTCGCCCCCGCCGCTCCCCCGCCCGCCGGAGCCCTCACCTTCCCAAGGTCGCCGCTCCGCGAGCAGCGTCTTCGCTCGGAATGCACCTGTTTGCCAGCGTTTCTGTTGCGGTTAGCGCACGCTGGGCAGGAACGGATCCTGTGCAAACGGATTACAGCCTCTGAAACCCGAGCCGCCCCGCGAGCCAGACTCCCCAAAAGCTGTGCCATGGCTTCACCTCCCTTGCAAGAATCCAGCGAGAGTAGGAAAAAACAACACGGAGGGAGAGGGAGCGAGCGAGCGAGCGAGAGAAGCGGATTCCGAATCTTCAGCTGTAAATGACTTTGTGGTTGGAAGGAAAGGCGTTTTCTCGCAGTAGACAGACGGGCACGCTTGGCAGGGAGAGGTCCCCCCCCCTTCTTTTTGCATTTGTGCGATAACTAGAGAGGATCAACCCTCCCCCCCCCCCTCCCCACCTTTATCTCTCCCCCCACCCCACCCCACCCCACCCCACCGCGCTCGTAGCCATCCCCTGGCTGCTTTTAGAGATTCAAAAGACTTTTTGGCCGGCTGCCTGTAAAGCACTTGCTAAAATCTGATCTCTTATTTCAGCAGCAGCCTTCAAAAACTTGGGAAGTTATTGGCATTTATACAGTCGGAGCTCTCCGGCTTTCCAAAGCAATAAAATAATGCAGGAGGGGGGATACTTTCTGTACTTTCCTACTATTAGAACCATACTTTAACTTTAGTGCTGATTATGCAACATTTTGTATTCAGGAGTTCTGACAGCAGGATTTGCTCAGGAGCAAAGAAAAGCCCGCAGAAGGCCGTTGCCTTCTTCTTCAGCTCCTGTCAAGGAATTTACAGTATAAAACATGGCACAGGGAGAGAAAGAGAAAGACAGAAGTGCTGGTGAACAGGGCAGTGCATATTCAGTTCACATCTCAGGCTGGTGTTCAGGGCTTTGTTACTAAGAGGAAGCCTCACCGGACTCGGTGGATTCTTACTTCTTAGTAAACACTGGAAGTCGAGGGTGGCCTTGTCACCCCTGCAGTCGGGGTATCACTCGGCGCTTAGCGATCCAAGCCTCAAGCCCCCAGGGCACCGATCCGCATACACTAATTTCTTTCAATATATGCATGCTTAGGAATACCAGAATCTCTTTGAATTCCATAGGAAGCCACGTAATTTCCCAGCCAGATCATTTCAAATAAAATTAACTCTTCAATTAGCTTGTACCCTGATCCAGATCACCCCAAAGAAATGGGATTTTATTTTCCTAAGCTTTATTGCCATGCAGAGAAATGCTTTTTATTTATTTTTTTTGAAGAGGGTGCTGCAGTAGGTTGGCAGGGGAGAGTTAACCCTTCGCTCTCTGGATGTAATCCCCTTTGAAAAACACCTTGTGCATGGGAAGTGAGCTAAGAAAAACATTGATACCCAGGGCTCTGTGTGACAGACATAGGGGCTTGGGGTGCTTGGGCCCAGGTTTGCAATGCTCCTGGCTACAGTGCAGTCTTATGTATATTTACTTAGATGCTAGTCCCATTGCATGCAGTGGGGCTTACTCCCAAATTGACATGAATGCTATTGTGCTGTTGGTAGGCTTAGTTTCAAGAGGGGATGAGAAATGGGAGTGAAGTCAGAGTCATCCTGTGAAACATGAGTTTGGAGAAGAAGGACTTGAGAAAATCTGCTCTGAGCCACAGGATAGTGCATTCTATTGATCACTCGGTCAATCACATCAATAATGGGTGGGAGAGGGCTTTTTCATCTTCGCTCTCCCGTAATCTGTGACTAGGTCTTTCAATGGGTGGCTCACTGCTATGGGCAGTGCTGTACAGCAAAGCCAGGACATTTATGCAGGGGCCTTCACGTGAGTGTGTGTACAGTACTGAAAAGATGAAAAGGTGCAAACACAGAAGTTTTCATTGACTGATTTGCCATCCAGCCTGTTTGGACCAACCTGGGATGGATTATGTGTTTGGAACTTGAATGGGAAAGAAAAAGAAGGATTAGATTATTTTGACTATAATGATCAGTTTGGGTTGGAGTTAAATTCTGATGAACTGACGTCGATTTAAAGCTTCTTTTATGCTTAATATTTATTTAGGGTAAAGAAAATTGTTGTTTTTGCTTTAAAGATTTGTGTGCTTTATTGGCACAAAGGATGTATGAGTAGATAGAATGGATTTAATGTTCAAAGGCTGTTCCCACCCAAGCATATGAATTATGATCAGGACAGCAAATTTAAATGTTCATGAGAAAGATTTTAGCTCAATGATTACACATTACTTGGTGGTTTGTTGGTCAGCAGTTATGTTGCCAGAGTTTTGCCAGCAGCACTTATAATGGCTAGAAATATTCAATTTTAACCTGTGGACAGTCCTGCCTATATTTAGGTTTAGACAACACATAATCCACAATCAAGGGTTGTGTATGGGTTGAGTGTGGGCTGTTGTTGAACCATGGGCTGTTGTTGTTGTGATAGGAACTGTGGGTTCTTCACTATGTCCTGCTGACTTGGCTGGGTTCAGAGAACATGACAACCCATGTTTCAACCATAACCTATGCTCAACCTTTGAGTGTGGGTTATTGCGTTGTATGAATCCAGTCAATAAACAAACTCCAATGAATCCAATCCTCAAGCATGCCATCATGGGAAATGGATAAGAATAAGAAGATAAGGACGAGCAAGAACACAGTGAACTTGGGCCCAGTGGTCGCTGCCTACTCTGTGCGACAGAAGAGAGAAGAGAACATAGTTCTGCTTTATTTTTAGGGTGTTCATAACATAAAGGCCTTCTGGTATTTACTCCAGTGCCCAAAGAGAAAGGAAGACAGAAAGGTTTGGAAGAGTTTTCTAAGTGGAAGAAAAGAAGAAGTGAGATTTAGTTGTCCTACTCATTTATTGTCTACTTGAAAAAAGTGGGATGATACCTCACCCCTGCAAGAACACTGATCTGGTCTAGAAGACAGGTGGAGCATGGCTGGGCACCTGCTGAAGATCCCCAGGTCACACGCACCTGCTCTCCTTGTTTTTGCAGCCTGCCTGCTCTCCCACCTCTCTCTCTGGCCCAAAGGGTTGGGCAAACAAGCAGGAGTGACAGGAAAGAGTCAGACCTGCCGCTGCCTGTTTGCTCACTGGTTCTTGGCTTCAGAAGCAAGCAGGGGGTTGAAATTTTGAGGAAGAGTGGGAAAAAGGAGCAGGAGCTGGATGCATGGCAGTGAGGGCACTTGCTCACTAATTGGGTCCCCCTATAGGGGGTATTTTGCCCAAACACCCCCAAAGCTGGACATACATTGCTAGCATCTTCTTTCTAATTGTTTGTTATGTGTTGTTGAGTCATCTCCAACTTAGGGTGACCCAATGAATGAAAGCTCTCCAAAATGCCCTATCCATGACAGCCCTGCCGAGCTCTTGCAAGGGCTGTGGCTTCCTTTATGGAGACAAGCCATCTTTTAGTTGGCCTCCTCTTCCTTCTGCCTTCAATCTCCCTAGCACAAGTGCCTTCTCCTGGGAGTCTTGCCTTCTCATGATTTGCCCAGAGTATGACCACCTCAGTTTTGTTATTTTTGCTTTTAGGGAAAGCTCAGGCTTGATTTGATTGGAGCCCCACTTGCTCAACTTTCTGTCATTCCAAGGTATTCACAAAGCTTCTCCTCCAGCACCAAGTTTTGAATTTTCTTCCTGTCAGCTTTCTTCACTGTCCAGCTTTCATAGTCATACTGAGTGATCAGGAATACAAGGGCGTGGATGGTCTTGGCCTTGGTCTGCAGTGAGAGTTTCTAACAGAAAGCTCATAAGAGGTGGGAGCTCTCACACTATGGTGCTCCGA